TTTGATGAGATAGTTAATGTTAAAAGTTTTGAGGTTTATTTTTGATTTGTTGATACCTAACTCTTTTTGTATTGCAAATATTTTTTACTAATATCTCGTGTTTCAACAGTCCAAATTTATGATTTTGATATCATTAGAATTGTCTTGTCAAGACAATTCAAATAATACCAAAATCATTAAATTTGGATTACTAGATGTCGAAATAGTTTCAATTAAAAAAACTATTACTTTGTAGTTTTTAAAAATAAAAATAAAATTAATTTCTCGACAATTATCTCATCAAATTGAGCCAAATTTTTTATGGTCACAGCAGAAATCAATAAATTTTAATATACTAATTTTTTAAAATTTTAATTTTAAGCCTTAACAATATATTAATTTTCTTTAATTTCAATTAATTATTTTATTTTTTAAAAAAAAACTCCCTAACTTTAGCTCTCATACAAACTTTTTTCTAGTGATTAAAAAATCTTCAAAAAATGCACACGATTTAAACTATGTACGTACTAATTTTTGTAAAAGTTACAAGGCTGTAGCACTTCTCTACAAGGAGATATAGGTGCAGGAAACTTTTGTCAGGCACTGTATCAGAGATTTTTAGAGTTCTTCTGAACTCTATAATTAACCAATCAAATCACTCAATTTTTTTAAAAAATTTATTAGTTGAATAATAAAAAGAAGCTTATAAACTAATAAATGTATAAAAGAATTTATTACATATATTGTATTTTAGAGAATAAATATATACACACAAAAGTGATATTTTGATAAAACCCAACTATATAATAAGAAAAATAATTGTCACAAAGTGGATTCAAATGTACTGAAAGCTACATTATACACTTAGACCACTATGTTATTTGTGGGAGCCTAATTATGTCCTGTCCAGTCCAATCCATTGGACCAAAAAGTATTAGATATTGGACATAGTGTAATATATAAATTATGTGACAAATAGCCAGAAAGTTGGAATCACATAATGAAGATAAATTTATAAAAAGTTCATTAAAGTTACTGTTAGTATTTATATTGGGACTAGAAATTAGTGAAAATTATAGTAAAATCGCTCAAGGGAAACTTTTTGTTAAGCCACATTTTTATCAAAAATTTTTTTTATCTTTTTTAGAATTATTGGACATATTGAACTGGACATATGTCCAAGTATTATGTCCAAGGTCCAGTCCAGTCCAATAATATAAAAAATAGTTGGACATATGTCCAGTGCCAACACTGGTTTAAAGTATTTTTGAGAACGTTTTATTAACTTTATTAACAAAAATTCACACAAACATTAATAGCTTTAGACCTTCATTCATAGCACAAAAGAATCCAGAAAAAATCCACAAACCAAAAAGACTTTACTTATAAGGTAAAATATGCCTGCCATTTATTCAAATAGGAATATAAAGAGATCCGGGTTTAATACTTGAATGTATTCTGTTTTTGCAGCTTGTTTGGAGGTTTCAATTGTAAAGAACTTTGGGTTATAGGTTGTATATTGGATTAATAAGTATGAGTTTATTCATAATAAACACCACTTTTACCCCACTTTACGAGTACCTACCTATTCTTTAAATGTATGAATTAATTCATTTTTGTGTTTCTTGTCTATTAGTATAAAGTATTAAAACGAACTCTTTGAAAATATGTAATTTTGATTAATCATCACGAGTGATCACGATAAAAAATTGGCCAATCACATGAATTTCTTCCTATGAATGTCTACGTTACTTTTATTTTTTTTTAAAAAAAAAAAATGAATTCGTTTTTTAAGTGTAGGAATCCTTAAATAGAATTTCATAATAAAATCTAAACATTATGAAGTTTATTTTTTATTTTTTAGTTAAAATTTATCAGTGTTGAAATTTATGAAATTAAAAGTTTGGCCAAAACTACTTTTGCATAAAGTTATACGACATTTTTTTTTAAATAGCTTGCTGGTTTAACGGCGTTCTCAAGCACCTCTCTCAATGAATCTGATTGGCCTGTCTGTTCAAACTGGCCAAACAAAGGTGCTTGAGAACGCCCTAAAGATCTAAAGATTCCTGCATTGTGGTACCGTAAAGTGCTGCATACAGTATCACTTTGAAAAAGTATCCTCTTTAAATATATAGTACATTCAATTGTACTGTAGTTCACATTTTTGAAAGTTCCCGGTAACTAACCAAATAACCGGTCAGATTAGACGAGTTTTTGGCATACCTAACTGACCAAAATGCCATCACTGGGAATAATGTAGATACGTGTTAAGTTTGCAATTCTTTTTAAAAATAAAATAACAATCCCGGATATTAGCACCAAACTATACCTGCCACCTCTAACCTAAACTGATATATTCAATAAGATGCATGCATGCATGTATGCATGTATGTACTGTACGTACGTACGTACGTACAAAAAATGCATCAGCTTGTCCAATATTATAACGCATTCGGCATATTACGTTAATGATACACGAACCAATGATCTTAGGGCACCGTATGCACGGTACGTGCGTACATACGCGTACGTGCGTGCATACGCATACGTACGTACGTACGTATCATAGTTAATTGCATGATCAAAGTTTTATACAACTTGTGTTGCAAAAGCTAGTGAACCTTAGAATACGACAATTTTAGGTTAAAAAAAAACCTTATATATATATTTTTTATAATTACTATAATCTAAATAGCAATCGTATTTTAATCTTTTAAAAAATCTTAGGAGAAATATTTTAGATAGATGCATATATAATAAGAACATCCTTTTCCTTGGATTTTTATTGTTTACTAAGAAAATTCGGGTTGATTGTTATCGTTTTTGCAAGTACTGTATATAATTTCTTCGTTGAGATTGCGCTATACATGATAAGATAATCTTCTGATTCAAAACTAACTGTTTAAGTTTGGAAATCGGAAATTTTTAAGAAGCACAAAATTTTGCAATAATAAAAGAAATAATTTATTCAAAATGTATGCAGTATTGTTAAGTATGCATTTATAATAGGTATAATTGCATATGTAAATAGAAATATATATATTCGGTCAATATTTCGTGAACTTTAAAATCATGTTAAGAATAATTATTTTTGTATGAATATGTATCTATGCATAAAGTTTTAAACATTTTTAGTCAACTATTTAGTTAGCTCTGGGCTGATTGTATTTCATTTTTTCTTTGTTCTGCTATAGAAAATAATGACATAATGAAACCCTGTTTATCGTTATCAAGATTTTTTGTAAGATGATTATAAGATGTTGGATAATGTTGTTGAACACCTAAAGTTAATAAACATAATCATTAACATCTTATATAACAAATTAAAGTAATAATTTAGGAAGAACGTATATTTGAAAATTTTCTTACCAATGAATGATTCATGAAATTTTATATAGACATCTACTTTATCTAACGGCGATTCAAACAAAACTTCTTCTTCCATCTCGTCTTCATCATTGTCATCATCATCAAGATTATTCTTGGCAGCCTAAAATATGAAATAATTTAAATAATTTAATAAATATGTAATAATACCACATAAATATAACAGTCATAATCATGACTAATAAAAATAAATTACCTCTTGCGCCAAATACTCTAAATATTGCGTATCTTCATCAACTACATTTTCATCATCTAAAGTATTCATTTAACAATACATAATAAACATTCATTAAATAAAGATTGTATATTTATAAATAATATAAACAATTAAAATATTCGATTGTTTTATTAACCATTGTCCACGTTGTCATCTTCACCATACGATTTTTCGAGGGCTTCAAGTTCATCTGAGTCATCACTATCATCGTCTTCATAACTTTTCTCGAGATTTTCTCGGTCTAGTAAGAAATTAATAAGACTTGTATAATTTATTAAATGCGCGAAAAAAAAATGCTTGCTTACTCTCTTCGGCTTTAGGTAGAGATCTGAACACTGTTAGAATACCATCCAAAACTTGCGTCCATCCAGCTTGTAATGTAGGTGGCAATTGTTCAAAAGGTAATTCTAATAGTGAACAAAGCGCTACAATAACAAGTTTCTTATCATGAACACGTTTAAATTTGTCAATGTGTTCAAACCATATCGAAAAGAATGCTTGAGTAAGACCACGTTCTTCAAGATTACGGAGAGTCAGAACAGGATTATAGTATAGACAATTGATTACCTAAGAGTACATACATTAATCGATTAAATCAATCACATTGGCATATTACTAGGAAATTAGTATCATTTGATAAAAAAAGCTTACAATTTCTATACAATATACTTTGAATGGTAGCGTGGTAATACTTGGTAGGTCAGATAAGTAACGAAAACCAAGTCCAAGAAATGGGCCAACATACTATAATGTAATAAAATTATTTATTTAGAGATACAATCAAATAAAGTATATTTCAATTACGTAAATTACGAAAAAAAATAAATACTTGATCCACATATCCACGACAATTCAACAATACGGATTCAATCAATTTACAAGCACAAACACGTTCACTTTCATTGATACGATCACTATTCATAACCTGGAAAACGTTAGATATTCTTTAGTATTAAGTCAATATAAGATGAACAACAATGTATTAACGACTAATCATACTGTTTCAGCAATATAATATATTCTAGCTTGCAAATCAGCATTTTGCACGAATATCTCGGTGCCATAAGAGATATAATTGTCCAAAGAAGGAAGCATTTCTAAAAGAAGATAAAGCAATAAATAAAAGATTTGTTAAAAGAAAATTCTTTGAAATAATTAATCTAATGTTTAATGTCTAATGTCTATTGTAATACCTTCAATATAATCAATTCCAGATATTGTATCATCTCCTTTAAATGTTTTATATATTAAGTCAAATATTCCCCACATTGTAGGTGATATTTGTTTTGTGGAATACGTACAACTATCGATAATATCAAAGATATCATCATATAAATCTGATGAATAGTTATTATTACGTGAAAAATTAGTCATTATTTAAATAATTTTTGTATACATAAAGTAGTTTATTAATATATTTTTCTTACCTGTAATCGCATTTTCCAGTGTATATCTAATAATAGGCAATAATATAGTTTCCAATTGAGCTAAAATTTCTGGTGTACTTTCCAAACTAAGAATCAAAGTAGTTATTGTTTTGAGAACACCTGCAGCAGCCATTGTTTTTTCGCAACCATCATATGAAGGATCATAAATATCTTCATTTCCCGGAGCTGCAGGAGCATTCTGATAATCTTGCATAATCCGTAGGAATGCATTTCGCTGTGTTGTATATCAATGTTTGTATTAAATTAATTTCCTTTATCAAATTTTACTAGGAAAGATATTTAAAATTTAAAAGTCATACTAATTGTTCACATAGTTGAATAGCGAAAGGACTTAATTCCTTGGAAAAAGCTTCAACAAACTCTTCCATTACGCTCGCAAGTGTATCAGTATCGATTTGATTCGTTAGATCGAGAAGTTCTTTTTACACCAGGAATAGGCATAAAAATTATAAATATGTTTTCATAAATTCATGTAGCTCTTTGAATATTTATTGAGCAACTAAAACAAAAATAAGAACAAATGTAATAATTACGTTGCATAACCATTGGTATATTAGGGATTAGTGCGGTTCTTACTAAATAGACAATAAAGATTAAAAAAAAAAAAGGTAAGTTGAACAAAATAATAAGAATAATATATATTACCTGTTTCATGTCGTATCATGCTTTGCAAAGCCAAACAAGCTTGAACTTTTACCGGAAGTTCATCATCACTCATACATCTAGTAATTCCTTGAAATGCTATGGCTAGATTTGATTCTTGTTCAAACTCCAAACTGTCAAACTTGATAATCATATCACATGCCTAATATAAAAATAAGTGATGAAAGCTAATTAAAAATAAAAATAAAAATAGAAAATAAAATTAATCATAACTCTTTACCCTAGCTCTTAAAAATGGATATGGACTTTGAAATTCAGGAAACACATGAGTTGTAAGAAAACCTTCCATGAGATGTGCAACACCAGATTTTTTACGCATGACCATCTCACTAAGGCATCCAATCATTTTCAGTGCACCATCTTTATGATGTGGATTTTTGGCATCAATAGGAGCATCATGATAAGTAGTTAAAATAGTGTTAATAAATCCCATTATTCCCATAAAAGTATATTTTTTTCTAAGCTTCGCTATGTCAATAAGGAAAGAAACAGCGGCAGCTGTATGGGAATTGAAATCCTCTAGAGGATCCATTTTCTTATGGATATAATCAACAGGATCCTCTGTCCACAATTGTTCATCTTCATCAGAAAAGCACAATTGAGGGAATATATATTGAGACACCAATGTTTCGCTATATGGCTTAATAATTTGCCATGTAATTTTATGTGTAATTCTATTAAAATGATTAAAGTGAGTAAAATGAATTATTTAATTCAAATGATATATTCAGAATCCTTTGAAGAACTGTGAAAAATAATAATATACTAACGCATCTCTGAAGAATTCTGAAAAATAAAAAAGTATTTTATTGCTTAACCATATTTCTTTCTTGATCCATTTTTCAGTTTTCCTTAAATAAGAGTGTAATATTGGAGTGCCAAAATGACGTATAAAATTTTCAGCAAATGCAGCATATTTTGTAGAAGAGGACACAAGTTGAGCGGGATTCCCATATCTTTGAAAAAGACGATTTAAATTTTGACAAGCCCATCTTTGTGCTCTAAACCAAATAAATTTCTGCCGTTCTTCAAGAACATTTGGAATAATTTCTTCAGGTATGTCTTTTTCAACTAAATGTTGAAAAAAGGAGACCCAAGGAACAATAGAATTATTATCTTGAAGAGTCTCAGATAGATCATACTGGGGAACAAAGATGATAGATATGTTAATTTTAAGTTAATAAAAATAAATACCAATTAAACGATTGAACATAACAATACTTGAGTAGCTGAACTATAAATTTTGTTTATAATCCTCAACATTTCAGCAGCATCTATATTTATTTCACCAAGCAATCCCTGGCCCATTTGTAAAATAATTGCAAAAGATCTTTGAATAATTTCCGCCAGAGGACCTCTGCCCTCACTAGATTTCCATCTAAAATAAAAAATAAGAAATAAGTAACCAAAATTGTTTTTTTTTTAATATATATAATTTTATATACTTACTGATAAACTTTAACGACTTGATGTAAGGCCAATAAACCGATATATGCAGTCCTAGGATCACCGGAAGTTAAAAGAGCATCAACTTGACTTAAATAATTTGGCCAGTTATCAGGATAATCATGATCAAGAACTCTGCTCAAAGGATCAAGCAATTGGATTCTATATTTGATTTAACGTTAAAACTTTATACGCTGAAAAATTATGGATATATAAATAACTATTGACCAAACCATTGGTAATAATAATCTAACCTTACAGCATTAGGTGCAGCCAACAATATATGTAATATATTTTTTTTGAATTCATCCCGATCTTGTGGGTTAATAGGAACATAATTTATCGCTGGTGTATCATCTGCGACCCATGATGAACGAATTCGATTTTTAAGATATATTGCAACTAATTGAAATAATTAAAATAATTAAAATAAATGTGATAAAATGCGGCTAATAATGCTTCAAAATTAAGCACTTTACCAGCTTGTTTCGTTTCAAGGTTAGAGTCTTGTGATACCAAAATTTGAAGAAGGATAGGGATAAATCCTGGTGACGCCTCAACCTATTATAATTACATTGAAAAGACAATAACGATCCCTATAATCCCTATATCCCGATGGTACTAATTCTTAAAGCTACTAAATTTTAAAAAAAGCAATTACCTGTTTTAGTTGTGCTTCGGCTTGCTTTTGCACATTTGGGTCAGAATCGTAGGTAGCACTAAATAGTTGGTATACATTATGAGAATCCATTTCATAGATCTAGTGAATTATCCAAGACACTCGAGGCGTTTTTTTTTTTTGCGCTTACCATTGTTATCACATTGTTACAGTTGAATGATTATCGAGAGATCTATGCTCACGTGATCAAGGATTCTAGTTATAACAAAACAGGTTAAAGCAAATTCTTGATTTACTGCGGTTTGTTTCTTTATGAATTCTGCGATCTCAGTAATTTCCGTGCAATTCTGTAGCGGTATAATGCTAATTCTGTGACTTAATGCGCTTGTACGTAAAAAAATTTAATTTAAAATATTATTATACATAGAAAAACTACGTTCAATCACTGCAACTAGAAGCTGGAAGCCAAATATAATTTAGCGCTATTCTGATAAATTTGGCAAAATCGGTTGCAATATTCATGAAGATTAGTCATTTCTTTAGTTACTTCGTTAACAGATCCTGTCCATTCAGTAATTGCTGAATATCGACGAATGTCTCTACGAGAAATATAGCCTATTTGATTTCCCATTTTAATATATGGAAGGTTAAAAATGCTGCAGCACGAAATAAAGAATGAGCAGGATGCTGTGAAATATGTACTGCATATTTATTATGTGCAGCCGCAAATGCTGATCAAAAAAAAATCATCTGGGTAAAATAGAATAGTGTAATAAGATCATTCCAAAATTTTGTGCTATAATATTTCCTCAAGTCGTTCTTCAATACAAAGAAATATTGGTGCTGAAAAAAATCTAAATCGTGAACAAATTCTTGTGCATACGTACGTACGTACGTACGTAGCATGAAATAAAATTATTGCATTTTGAAAAAAGGCGTGGTCTCTGCAGATCACAATGTCGTGTGGGTTTTATCGATTTCAAAGAAATATAAACGTAACCCTTCGAAAATATAAAACAACAGACAATCTGAAATCTCAGAATTTTCCCTGAACATCGTCACAGAAATCATGTAGCCACATCTTTTTGCAAAGCGCAATAAATAGTATATCATGCCTTTTTTTTGTCGATTCTGTAAAAATCATGATTTGCATCTCTTTCATATTAAATAAAAAGAAGCCCAATATTCAATATGATCTTTAACATA